GCAGAGGGAAATTCAGGAAATAGGAGTTACTGTTGGACAGGACTGAAGTTATATAGACAGTTATTTACCAGCCATCTTGCTTTCTTTTCTTTTTTTTTTTTCCCCTCTAATATATCTTCCTGATCCYATGACAATTTTATTTTCCACATCAAACCTGCTGGCTGGGTATGTGGTTTCCTGGGAAATTTAATCTTAAGAATTTAATGTTAAGTGTAATAAGCATGTAKAAATAAATAACCCACAAGTGTTTAAAAGCCCAAATTCCTAAACCTCGTCAGAAGGTAAAGAAAAAAAAATGTCATTTTCCTCCTAAGTGGCATAAAATCGYGTCCCCAGCCTGAAAGAGAAACACAACCAAGTTTGAACGTACAGTGGTAATTCAGATGCTTCCAGTAGCTGCAGAAAAAAACAAGTTTTACTGAAAACTGCTCGCTCGGCAAGGACTTTCCCTGGTGCGTCTGGGCTTCGCTGGGGACGTTCCGGGTTTTCCCCTGCCGTGCTGTCCCCAGGGCCCTAACGCAGACAGGAGGGCCATGCAGAGCTCCCACGGAGCGGAGCGGAGCGGCCGGCAGGGCAGAGCGGGYGCTGCCGTGACTCAGGAACAGCCACAACCGCTCCGCGGGAAAGGGGCCGCCAGCCACGCTTGACGAAACGCACGTACGCAATGYGACGTTCGGCACCATGCGGAGCGGGAGAGCACAACGGTGCCCGTCAAAACAGGACTTAGTTTGCCTGGTAAAATAAACTCAAATGCTCGAGTATTGATCTTAGTTACAAACACGGTCTGGGTTTTGTCTGGGACTTTAATGAGCAATTCCAGAACCAAGGCAAAGCGGTTCCCAGGGCTGGGATGTGTGAGAGGGAAAGGAAAGGGATGTTAAAGGAAGAGAAGYGAGTTTACGGGAGACGAAAGAGGGGACAAGCTGCCTTGCTACGGATGCTGTGCTTCACCCCCGCCCCAGTTCTCGGTACAGGAAGCTCTGACAGGGCCGTCAGAGACACTTTCCCAATGGTGAATAAAGGAGGGAGAGCCGCATTCTGTGACCAGGAGAGGCACCGGGACCATGCGGACCTCATGCCCTCCCTTGCCCTGGAGGCGCCTGCTGCTCTCCATGGCCCTCCTTCCGCCCCCTCCCCGCACAGCTGCCTCCCTCCCTCCCGTCCTCCCTTCCTTCCTCTCCTGCTCCCGCTCCGCTGCCGTTCTGCGGCCTCCCTTGCCAAGCCCTCGGCCTCAGCTGTTTCCAGACACCCCCCGCATCGCTCGGCGTGTGCCAACGCGCCAGCGCGTTTTGCAGCTGCCAAAGCAGACATTATTTTGGGGAGAGGYGGTTGTCCACGCTCTGCCCCGTGGCTTGCAGGATGTGCAGGGGCAGGCACGGCCGGCCAGCACGCGCGAGGCCGCTCGAGGGGACACGCGCTGCGACCCACGCGCTTGGCACCGTGCACGTGCAGGGTGAAGCTGCTCATCCCCACGTATCCCGGGGTATGGAAGGGAAAGGAGGGGGAAAGGAAGGGCGTTCTGATCGACAAGCCAAGTCCCAGCTGCTCTGCACCCGTTGTGTATGGTGAGGAACCAACCCCAAAATCCAGAGGGGGCAGCGGAAGAGGAGCACTAGCACAGCAGGGCTCAACCCCGGAGCGGAGAGGAAAGCCAGAGACTGGTGTAAAAGGGCCGGAGGAGGCTGGTGGGAACAGCAGCTGGAGACGGTTGCTCTGGAAACTGCGGGTGAAGCCAACTGCTGAGGAGCAGCGGATCACGGCGGCAGCGGGAAGGCCCGGCTGGGGGCATGTTGGGGTGCAGCAGCCATAGGCGTCGCTCAGGGAGCGCCCAGAAACGAGCGAGGAGGCGGAGGAGGGAAAATGGCCGCGAGCGGCACGGAGCGGCTGTGGCCAGGGAGGAGCAGGGGGCACCGGCAGCCATGGCGGCAGCTGGGGGGGACCTGTGGGGAAACACGGTGGAGAGGCGCTGCGAGCAGCGCCTGCGGTGCCCTGGGGCCTGCAGGAGCAGCCGGCCAGCGGAGCAAGGAACAGAGGCCACCAAAGGGGAAACCGGGAGCGAGTCCTTTACTGCTCCCGTCCATTCGCACCGCAGCAGAGCCCGGAGGTGCTGACCCCTGCGGAGACGGAACAAGCCCACGGAGACACGGCCACAGCCCTGAACGGGAGCAGCCAGGCTCAGCGTCCCCGAGAGCAACAGGGACCCTTATGGTGACGCCACAACATCGCTATACTCATTTCATGAGTTTTCTTTTGAATTTACACGAAAATGGTTCTTTGTTTTCTTCAAAGAGCACTTCCTTTTCTTCCCCCATGTCATTACAGAACCACTTTAACTTCCACAGATATCGCTGAGTCCCAACACACTCTAGCAAATCTTGTCACAGCGAGGAGACAACAAAATAAAAAAAGTTCATGTTGAAACTGTGATTTTATTTTCTTTACTACCACTTCTTGCTACTAAAATTCTAACGTTGTTAGCAAATCATTTTTCTGGATAAGCATTACATTTCTTTAAGGTTGGAAGAACTACAAACATCCCTATTTTGAGATGTTTAAGCACTGCTGGGATATAGGCAAGAACTATTCACTGTTAGTCCATTTATTGCCTAAAAACGACACCAATGTACAATACTGAGGCAACCTTTACAAATTTAGCTTTGGTAACAGTAATACACCTTGAAAGATAGTCCATAAAGCAGGAGGGGCGAAGTAGGGGAGTGACCCACCAGACCTGCACGTGCATCTGTGCTATATGTTCATGGAAGCTACAGAATTAAGGCAACACCAGAGAAATGTGTCTCCCTGTTTTTTTTCTACGTTGATTTTTGCAATCGCTGTATCCTCATTCCTCCTTCCGGCTGCAGAAACGGTCTGTCTGCCACTCCTGCAGTGCTTTTCTCTTTCAGAGGGAATAAACTATTCCAGGAGGAATATTCTAAAACATTCTAGGAGGTTCCCAAGCAAGTCCAAGGAGGACACGACGTGCTGCCAGCCCCTTCTGTCCACGGGGACCTGCTGACAAGGGGAAGAGCTAAGCAGGAGAGAGCCGAAAATTAAATAAATAAATAAATAAATGGAGAAAAAGCACTGGGCCAGGACACCCATGATAAGGCAGAGAGAGAGGAAAGTATTTTTTAGTGGAAGAAAAAAAAACAGTTTCACAGAAAAAAAAAATGTTTTGATGGACGGAGGGCAGAACTGCATAGGAGGAGGAGGGGACTCTCTGAAGCGAAGCTGAATAAACATGGGAAACGGGGCTGAAGGAGAGGGAAGCACCAGCAGCGCTTCCCGAGGGGGAAGCCCCTCCAGCAAGGGCAGCTCCCCCGCGGGCCCCGCCGCGAGCTCCCGGGGCCGGAGCCACCAAGGGCTCGCGCCACAAGCCCTGGCGGGTGAGGGCCCCCTTCCCAAGCCCGCCCGCGGGACGAGGGGCGCTCCGTGCCCCCCCGCTCCCCGGCAGCCTCCGGGGAGGCCGTGGAGTCGCCGCGAGGCTGCAGCAGCGGCGCCCGCCGCCTCCGAGGGGCCCGGCGGGGGCCGCGGCCGGGGCCGCCCGTCC